TGGTCTTCATTTTTTGTTGATAACTCTCTACTCAGCTTCAAATCATCTCACAGTTTTTCCACACCTTCAATTTATCTTTTTTGCACCATGGCAAAGTGCCATTTTTTCACCTCAATATTTTTGGACTTCTCCTAGTTTCTACACAAGTTTCCAGTATTTCATGATGAATGGAAAATGGGCCATTACATGACCTCAGGTGCCCAGTTATGCCAGACAAACCAGACCATAATTGAAAATAAATATATTCCAAAAAAAATTTGCTATTTTTAAACTAAAAAACTAAACTCAGCTGCGCGACAGCACTAGAGGGCCAAGGCCTACTGTGCCCATCTCAGTTTTCTTGACCTTGGGCTCAGGGGGGCAGAAGTTTTTGAACTACTTTAATATAGTGTTGAATTTTACTAGTCGCCCGTGGCAGCTCTGATTGAAGTGATATTTTAGTCAAATACTTAAATCACTTGTCTCCATCACTTAAAATATATTTAAATAAATGGCATGTCATCCTTGTATATGTTTAAACTATTTAACTGTAATGATAGCTTTAAGTAGGCTAAATCAAATTAATTTAAAACAGAAAAGTCGACAACAACCTTTAATGCATTAGTTTTTGGTACATTTATAAATGAAATTTAATAAAATGACTGAATTATTATTTTTGATACTGTTATACTGCGCTATACTTTGTTACTGCTATAAAATGTAAGAGTTATCGTAGAAGAATAATTTGTTATGCTTGAGTTTCGCTTTTCTCTTTTGAACTTTAAAGTTTGATGAGAAATGCTGATACAATCATTTGTAAATGCAAATTCTTTTAGTAAAATATTCTGTATATACTGGCATTTAAAAAAATTTTAATATATATTTCAAAATTAGCTATTTTTTAGTGGGAATTCACTTAAATGATTTCATAATAAAAACCAAATTTTTAAATAAATCAATTATTGGTTGAAAACAAACCAATTACGGTTTCAAGAATCATTACAGGTTACAATAAAAGTCCTAACTCACGGAACCCCTATGACTTTTCCACGGAGCCCCAGGATTCCTTGGAACACTTTTTGAGGAATTCTGCATTAGTGAATAAAGGAAAATGAAGGAAAAAATATTAAAGGCGCCTTTTCTATCGCAACACGTGGCCACACTTTCCGTTTTTGAGGTGAATTCTAAGATAACGACGTTTTTACGATAAGGTTGGAATTCTAAAATAAGAATTAAACTGCGTCTAATCAATTTAGAATAAAATAAAGCTGAATGGAAGATTTTTATCGCGCAAGGCAGACAAAAGGAGGCGTTCAAAAACTGATACTTCATCTTTGGAATAAGAATTTCACGAATCTAAATAAAATTTCGTCTGAAATTGTGAAATAGTGAAAGACTCTTTCCCAGGAGAAAACATTATTTAATTCAGTTGTAATTAATTATTTTTTTATTTAATTTATTACGAATAAATATGCTATTTTGTAAAAATAATCTAAGTGCTTGAACATATTTACTAAATAGACATCTAAACGCATGTCTTACAATAACTACGGAATTTTGTACAATCAAAAAATATTTTTTCTAGTGATAGAAAATGTAACGTATAAATTTAAAAAAAAATTAGAATTAAGCAAATTTTGTCAACTATCAGATTCAAGTAATATAAACAAATACGTAAAAAATCAAATTGAAAAATTGTCAGGTTTCAAAGTTCTTATGAACGACTTATAAAAATTTTATTTGTTTTAAAAATTTCTGCGTTTGTCATCTATTGCCCGAACATTTTTTTTGGATAGCTGAACCGTTTTTGTTTATGCAGGGCCGTCAGCAATTCACCTTTTGGCAAAATATTTTGTAAAGTCGGAGGCAATTAATAACCGAAATTTTCAGAAGGTTTGGTAATTTTACTAGCATTTTAAACGCTCCACTGTAGAAAAGCTGGAGGAAAATGGAGTTTCATATGGACTTCTGAATTATTTATCTGTAATGATGGGAAAATAACTTGAAATCAAATTTACGAAACAACGAATCATACATTAAAACATAAACTTAGCTACCGCTAGAAGAAATCTCCTCATAAAGCATGGAAAGTTAGCAGCCAAGGGTATGTATACACGCAGTAACCTCATATTTTTATGATACCTTATCATACTTATCATCATTACAAGCCTTATCATATCATTATTTTCATCATACCTTATATTTTTATTTTAATAATCAATAACCTCATATTTTTATAACTGTTAGTCATTATTTAAAAATATTACATCATGAACTTAAATTAAATAGTGCTTGCATTAACTTCTATGGGATCCAATTCTATGGGATCTCTTAAATCCATTTTTTCAAAAATAGAATTAGGATTGAAAAAAAAAAAAAAAATCGTTCACTTAAACTTGGGCTTTTTTTCCCCAATGAATTCTCACCTATCTAATCAATGCTCTAATGTAATGCTTTATTGTGATTAGGACTGGGCTATAAATCGATATATCGCGACATATCGATTTAACGCCTGTATCGACGGGCCGATACAGCGACTTTCGTTCCAAGCGATGCATCAGAAATCTGATTTAAGCCGTCGAGTAAAGAAGACGAACGATATAGCGATATACGATATAGCGATTTGCGATATACGATATAGCGATACAAGACACGCAAGGATCTTTTACGTTCCGATGCCAGCTCGCGCTGGGGAGTACGATGTACGTATCGTTATATTGAAACGGCCTTGATTGATGAGCGGTAAAATCAGAATCTGTTTTGAGAACATATATCGTGATCTTGCATGTTCGTTTCCGCACCTCTTAGTTTTTTTTTTCGCCTTTGTCGCTACTTGATATCGTTTCTTGTAGATTATTTTCAGTGGGACTGACTTTGTGATCGTTAACTTGTTCTGAACGTAATTTATTATTGAAAAGAATACATAAAGAAGTGTTTCTTAATTAAGTAGGTAAATTTTTCTTTGAAACAAAACTTTCTTTTTTATTTTTAAATGTGAAAATTAATTTTGATATTATATGTTTAAGTATTATTTTACATTATTGAATTTATTACAAACGGAAATCTAATTTAAGGTGCTCATAAAGAATTAAATTAAAAAGTAATTAATTTTGTTAGGCTATTTTTTACCTTATTTTTATTTATTAAAAACTTTTTGGATAAAATAATAATTTAATGGGTTTTTATTACTGAGTTTAAATTTATAAATCTTTAGTTGTTTTCCTTTTCATAAATGAAATTATAACAAAACTAATTTTTCCTCTTTTGTATTTGGACATAAGTCAATCAACTTTGTTTACTCAAAAAAATTAGTAATGTTTGCGATTGCGACTTCTTTTTTTAAAAACATTTAGCACTTCGTTTTATTAAAGAGTATAATCGTGTTTTTTAATTTTCTTTCAGTACTGTCAGTTGAATATATTATCGAATATCATAATTCTTTTGTTTTTATTTTTAAGAAATTAAACCTTACTTTGTTTTTTCGTTCAGAGTTCGGTAATTATTCAATTTAACTTTATTATTTATGTGAAATAATAATGATAAAAAATAGTGTTGTTTTAAAAGTGTTTTTTTTTTTGTTTAATTTATTTAGCACTTTGTTTTAAGCACACAAATAATTTTTAACAAACTTATTTTTTAAATTTTCTTTCTATATTGTTAGATAAATATATTTATAAATTTCAATTTTATTTATTTTTTTATTATTTATTTTTGAACTAAGAAATCTTTCGCTATTTGCGAGATCATTTTTAGAAAATATAACATTAATATCATTCTTAAGCAAAACATATACATCAAATTCATAAATTGACTTAAATCAATCTGAGTATGAAGTTTTGATAGAAATCCGACTTTCTGCGCCTTACAAGTAAATGAATTTCAAAAATACTATATCGCGATACTTCGCTATATCGCGATGCAAAACTGACGATGCATCACGATATAAAATTTCTTATATCGCCCTGTCCTAATTGTGATTTAAATAAATCAAACCACTATTTCTCCACCCATAAATAAACTGAAAAGAAATATTTCGTTAAGAAATATATAAAAACACTCAACTCAAAATGCAATAACGAAAGCTAAATTCAATCAAGAGAAAATAAATTTAGCGGTTTTTTGGTATATTTTTCTAGATATAAATTTTCGTATCAAATATGAATAATTTGCAATATAAATTTTGATGGTAGTAATGATTGATTAATTAAATAAATAAAGATAAATTTAGTTTTTATCATTTCTTACATTTTTGGTCGCTTGCGGCATCCCTGTTCCTTCTTGTTTTTACCTTTTAACTATTTTTTATTTTGAGTTCTGAACAATTTAAATAGGCTATTTAAACAAATGTAAACATTAAAATTTTAAAATATCATACCTGCAACTCTTCCGGATTTTCCGCAAGATTTTATTTTTATATTTAAAGTGATAGCAATACTCATGTTATTCCAATTAACTTTTTGAATTATAATGATAATTATAAATGAGTTTGACCACCACTAGATATAAATAATTACAATAAATATGTAAAAGCATAATAATCCTTGCGTAAGCGAATTTTAACGGGATCAAAATATACATATATTTTTTAGTCAGATTGTTTTTCGTTAATTGTATTACGACCACTCAGAAAATCCATTCTCGGAAAGAGTGAAAGTTGGCAGGTATGAAATATAGTAAGAAATTTAAAGTTTCTATAATTTTGAATATAAAATTTTATTAACCCTTATCGATATTTTAAATATCAGTAAAACTTATTATCTTAGTTTTCAATTCTCTAAACTATCATATTCCCCTCTTAAACTATAAGGATTCCAAAGGAAAATAAAATATATGAAAATGAAAATGATTGCAATTTTCAACAGTTTAGCTTTCTTTTTTAAACAAAGCAAAGGTATGAAAGAAAACTTATCAATTAGAAAATATTAAGTTATTGTTATCGAAATAATCATTTGTATTATTATCTACTTAAAAATAACAGTCGATACTCGACAGATTAAAAACAATAAAACTATATGATACTGTTATCATTAATTTCTATGAAAATCTCCATTATTTTTATTGTCAATTCCGTTGAGGCTTTGAACTAACCAGTTTTAAAAAAGGCTTAAATCTTTCGTTAAATCAGGCGATGCATTCTGATTAAAACGCATCAAATGTAACCCGAAGTTAAGAATGTTTAAATTACATTTTTCAAATATTATTTGCATTTTATGTGTTTTGCATTGCGTAGCTGAACTATTCAAGAATCTCAAATCCCTGATCATGAATTTGCTGAGGAGTACGCCTCAGACGAGGATTTTGTTAAACTTCAAAATATGTTTGAAATAAACGAAGGTGGAAATGCAGGTACGTAATAAATTATTATATTCCTTAAGAACACGGATAACCAAATTAATTAGTGATATTCCTTAAGAACACGGATAACCAAATTAATTAGTGATAAACCTATAAATAAAAAAGGCTAAAAAATCTTTGCGGTCATACAGAAAAGTTAGCTGATTTAAGATTTTCTATCCCCGCAGTGAGCCAAATGTTTTAAATAAATTATTTCCAATTTTTTCTCGGGTAAGTACTCTTTATAACTAGCGATAAGTTTAGAAACTTTCGATTATATTTAAATTAAAACTATTATTTATAATTTTTTTAGTCATTCGTTTGATTTTGCTGAATTATTTCAATTAAAATGCTGATGGTATAAAAATGGCATTTTTTAAAAGAAATAATATTTCTATTACCATATATTGAACAAATTATGAAAGGGGCAAGTATATATTAAATATTGCATTAGTAGTTTCTATCGCGCTTTATAAATCAAAACAAAATTACTAAATTTATATGTTTCCCTAATATATTAATATTCTTAAAATCTTTAAATGTGTTTCCCTAGTAACAATTTTCAACATTTCAAAGTTAACTATAATTTTGCTAATTTTATTTATTTTCAGTTTATGTATATACGCCAAAAACAAACACATAACTGGACTAGATATACGCAGGGGTGATTGTGATCCCAAGTCATAATTCCGGAAAATTTCTTGAGTTAAAAATAAACAAAAAAAAAACACAGTTTAAATTGAAAAAAAATTTAAACAAGGCTTTTTTTTCTTCCCTTTTTCTCAATATTTCTTAGTTTACTTAAAATATAAAATTTTACACATACCTATGATGACCTGGAGAAGTAATCAAAATTTACAAATGTCTTTCTTTATCACAACTATTTACTGATAAAAAATGAATATTAATCATGAATATAAGCTTATAAAGTATCTCCCTGGCTCTCCCTTACAAACAAAAAAATAAACTGTGTTTTTAAGTTCCACCTTTGAAAATTTAATTTCCGGAAACTTCTGTGATCAATGATTTTTTGAAACATCTGGACCTTCGATCTCCGAAAACTTCCGGATCAATGTTAGCGAAAATTCCGGAAATCCGGATTTTTCCGGAGCACAATCAGCCCTGTACACGGATTTAACAGTCGAACATAAAACCCATCAATTTTAATGATAAAACCATGACAAATCTTCATTCTTCTAATTAAATATTTTAAAAATAGTCTTCTAAGGGTCTAGTCTAAGGGTAATAGTCTACGATCACAATTACTTTAATGGATTCTATTTATAAAGTCGGGGTTCAGCCGAAAGGAAGTTGATTATTTAGGGTTCCGTTGCCGGAAAATATTGGGAACTGCTGCCCTATATGATCGACCTTCTGTTGGCAGAAGCCCGACCTTTCATTAATTATTATGAACATATCAATAACGAAAGATCATCAATTATTTTGAAAATATTTAATGATCTAAATTTTATCTATTAGTTTGAGTGAAGAATAAAAATTACTATCATTTTACCAATATTAATCTTAATATTGGTTTTTATGTCAGACATTTGAATACACAGGTTTGTACGCAGCATCTAGTCTAGTTCTTCATTTGGTTTTAGTGTATGCATAACTTGAGACTGAATGACCTGAAACATGAATTGAGTTAAAACAAAACAAGGACGAAAAATAAACAGTGAGAAAGATATTTCTTCAATGTTAAATTTGAGTATTTTTATTCGATGCGAATTATTATGGCAATTTCCTGCAGACGTTTATTCTTTTTCATATTAATTTATTTTCATTAGAAAAGCCATTCATCAAAATTTAAAAAAAAATAACATATTAAATTAATACTTGGTAGTGAATTAAAATGCAAAACTTGTAGAATAAGGATAATTGCTCTCACTCTTTAAAAAGTGTAATTTTTTTAACCCCTTTCTAATTTAAAAGAATAATAACGAGATAACTTTGACTGAGATCAGTTTGGTATACTGGGGATACCTATTCAACGACTGATTCTTAGATGTATGTTTTCATACTTGAAGGTTTAGGGGGAGATTTTTTAGTCACGATAGCTCTTTGAAAAAAGAACCAAGGCGAATGTCCTTGGGAATCATCTGGGCAGCATTTTTATGCCTCATCCGTAGACATACAATGATGCAATAGATAGCAGTTTTTCTGGTTCTGACATCAGATGTATTTTCCTTGATTACTTTGCGGTAGTAATTCAGAAATCGCCTCGGTCAAATTTCCCTTCTTCTCTACTCCTAAAGTAAATTTTTTAAAACTTTACTTTTTTCAACTTTTTCGTTCAAAACTTTCCCCCGCCTTTTAAGTACACGATTAATTTGTTCTTTTTTTTAACAATCTTATATTCTTCACCATAAACATTCTAGGAATTTATGTGATTATAAGTTTTGGAATATCCATTGGAAAGCATAAAGATGCATCGAAAATTAGATTGTTTGATTGAATGTTTCCACATTACTTTTGCCATGTGCAGTCAATAAAATAAAAAAAAACATATTTTCATTTTGTAAAGCTCTTTGGTATTATCTTACAGAAATCTCTTAAAATATGTATAACAGCAGGATGGTTCGTTTTTCTTTGGAGCCCAGAATATTTCCATACCATTCAATAATCCAGAAAAATTATTTTGGCAGACATCTATATCATTTTCTTACCAAATTTTAAATCCTGTTGTTTCATGTACCAGATCTCATTACGATGCAGTACAGTCTAGGCAATATTTACTAAATTAATATTAATTACTGCAATTATTTTTAGGTTTATCGGAGAGTTAAACTTAAACTGTATAAAACATGTGGGCACCTGAGGCCGCTTGCGGACCTTTTCCCATTCATCATTAGCTTGATCTTTGTGGTGCTTCGATGAGGTTGTGGAATGCGAATGAAGTGAAGGAGTATTCATGTGGATCATTGAGGTTCTGACTGTGTAGTAGGTTGAACGTAATCACCCAACTAAATTGATCGTATGCAGTAGGGTGATAAGACTATATTGTTAAAGTATGGACATCAGCTAAACTGATATGATGAAAATGAGATTATATATATGCGCTATTGATGTCGGGAATATGATGCATCACTGCAATAGTATGCTGCTATTGGTCTGATGTTCTTGTTTTCAGTTAAATTTTAAAATAGAAATATTTCATTGAAAATTGCTGTAGAGCAAGAGGGGGCTTTTTCGTAGAATTTTATATTTAATTTAGCTATATGTTTGTCTATTGCATCTATTTTGAGGTCATGGTGTATTGCATCATTTCTTACAAACCATCTGGCTCTTGTTATCATTCTTAATATTTTTTTTTGCCAGACTATTAATTTATTTAGCTGAGTTTGTGTTATATTTGTCAAGACTGGTGAAACATATGTAAGGATGGGGCGGATTATGGTTAAATAGAGCAATCTTTTGAGTTTTAGTGCCATGTTGGATTTATATAGTACATGGAGTTTACTGCGTGCTTTTGATGTGATCATTAAAGTTGAATTTGCTATTAAGGATGAGTCCAAGGTATTTGGCTTTGTCAACTATTGGTATTGTTTCATTAAATAGAATTAACTTGTTTTGTGGTAGTATTTCTTCTTTTTATTTCGAATGATTCAAAGTTGTGATTTTTGGCCGTTTACTTGAAATTTCCACTCTAGGCACCACTTTTCTATGTCTTGTATCTTTTCTTGTAGTTAATTGTGGGCTATGTTTGGATTTTATTATTATCCCGGGATCATCAGCATAGAGAGTAGTTATGCTATTGTAGTCTTGTCTATCGATTGGAAAATCATATGTGTAAAGAATATATAAGATTGGGCCTAGTATACTTTCTTGTGGGACTAAAGCTTTGATGTTTCTTTTACCACAGAGTTCTGATTTATATTACATAAATGCAAAATGTTCTTTTATAAATGAAATTGGTGGGTTTACTTTAGCCTCCAATTCAGCTATAATGTTCCAGATAGAGACGCAGCATATACAGAGATGCCAACTTGCTCAGTGCAGCGGATAAATATTTTCGAGATGTAGTCCTTTAAAGTGTGATCCTTGGTTTAATAAATTCGATTTATAGGATTTACACACCACTACTTTTAAATAATTTAAGGGCTTATGTGATGCGTCACTTTCATACATTTAAGCCTCCCACGTTGACCATCAAACTAAATTCAACCACACATAGTTTAGAGCAAGCTGCTCCTTATAATTTTCATTAGTTTTATTTACTCAAGCAAGGCGCTTGAACTCTAATAACAGCCACCACACAGTCTGCTGATCTCATAAAGTTTCACTATAACTATTTAAATAAGCATGAGGGATGCGATAGGGGCCGCTGTGCGGCCCAGGTGCGTAGTTCAGTAAATTAAAGAAGAAGACAATTAAGCCTATTTTAATATATTATTATATCTATTTTACTTATTAATTTACTACATCTACTGTGCATCACAGTATGCAATTACAGCTGCCAACAGCATACCTGCCAACTTTTAATCCCTTCCATTATCATTTTTCCCAGTGGTATTAAAATGAAATTAAAACTTCAATTTTAAGCAAGCAAATACGTTGTATTTGAGAAAACTTAAGTTGACAACCGTGATAGTAACGTATATTAATATATGTGCTTAATTTTTGTAAGAATAGTGGTGATCAAAATCATTTAAAAATTAAGTTTAATAAAGAAAAAATAGTATATATTTACTACCACTTTAAATATGAAAATAAAATCTTCCGGAATATCCGGAAGAGTTGGCAGGTATATAACAGCCTCATATATCTCCAACTTATCTATGCCAACAGTCCCAGTCGCCCGATGGCCGACATCAGATGAAGGAGTGTAGTGCCGGCTGACGTGGGCAGGTATTCCATAAATGCACCGATCAAGTCAAGTACAGTTAAACCGTGTTGAACCTTTTAAAAATTTGTCAAAAGTGACCGAAAATCTGCAAACTTTAAAGAGTTTGTAAATCCAAATTGTTTTTTAAAAATATTTTGTCGATTATGGATCTGTTAGCACCTCTGGCATACATGGTAAAAATGAGCAAATACATACATATTGAAACAGGTCACTCAAGTGTCCATTAGAACTAAGCGGTACGTTTAATTTTTGCTACATACTTACCACATTTCTTATCTTTTGCATCTTTGCATTAAGAGCTCTTTCGCGGACAGAATTTTCTGGTAGACCTAATAAAATTAATGGCCCCGCTTTTGTCAGCTGCAGTCAAAACATTCACACAAATCAACTGAGTTTTTGTCAACCTTTTCTGCTGATCTCAGCAGCAAACCTTTCGCTAGCTATATTCCAGGCGATTTTCAAAGCATTTTCTTTAGTCTCCATTGTAGATTTTGATAATGAATCGAGACTGTCAGGGAATGTTTTTTTCATCCATAAAGAGGGATTCCCATTACCTTTTAAGCCACATTGCGTTTTCCAAATGATAGAAACGAAATTCTAACAAGTTTTGTAATGATAATTCAGAAAAGCAAAAAAATGCTGCAATTTCAAATTACCTTTAAACGTAACAGCTCGCTTCTTGTCGGGTCCAATTTAATGATTGAAATTGTTTATTTGTCGAAGTGGTCAAAGTTGTTGTAAATCCAATCGACTAAGTTAAAATTCATGTTTTAAAATACTTTTGTTACTACGTCAAATATTTAAGGGGAAAAACGTGAAAAAAAGGCTGCAGGGATGCCAACAGGTTCAATTTATGCAAAAGTTTTAATAAATTTATCGTGAATTAACCCTTTGGAATCCGCTTTATTTAAATACCAGTCTAAGGAGAAACAGTCAAAGTAAAATCTGGTAGTAAGCTTTTAAATAAAGATTATTATTTTTTTCAAAGTTTTTCTTCGTCGATTAGTTAGCAAATAAAATTTAATACCTTCAAACATTTTCATTTGAATGACTGGGCAGTTATCAAAACATAGCATCATACCTTTGGCACCACTGTTTATTATTCAAAATAGTAAATGCATGATGAGACTCACTCCTCAAATGATGCCGAAGGGTTAAATAGTGAAACATGTAAAATAAGGATAATAACTCATATTCATTAAAACTCTCTAATTACGGTACAATACAACGACATAACTACAAAAATGTTGCATTTTATGGAAAACTACAGTATGAAATAACTACAATAGTAGTCTTAGTATTGTTCCGAGCCTGGGTACCTAAACCGCGTATTTCATATCATTTTATGAATTTTTTATATGTATTGATGAAAAAATGATTTATAATGAAAAATACTCATTTATAAAGAACTTAAAATACCATTATAAAACATTTTTATACCAAGCGGAGCAAGTTGGCCTCTCTGTTATCCTCTACTTTTTAAGATCAAAAATTCAAATCCCGCGAAAAAACGGTATGTTTATTCAGAGAAAGTATGTTTTTGTATCTTATTTCGTAACTTATAGTATTGTGTGCTCTAATTAGTTAGAATATTTTAGAATGAGACCTATAGGAACCTTATAGGGATAATTCTTATAGGACTCGTAAAGGGGTTCATCAAGCTTTAAAATTTATTATAATAAAAATTAAGTTGAATTGCTAAGAATAATACATCCAGGATCAAATTAGTGTTATTTTAATTGGCTTTTTATTATTTTCAATAGATTAAATATAGTTTCGTATTACTCGTCTTCACTAACTCAGGGTCAAAGATCTAATATGGAATAAAATATTACGAAATAAAAAACGATAATGGGGTTTTATTAAGGTAACACTTTTATACTTACTCTATACTAAGTAGTACTTCATCTATACTGCGTAAACAATATTTCTTTTAGAAAAAAAAAAGAATTGAAACATTTTACAATGAATGCTAAACTATTTTCAGAATATGAAAGATCTTGCTAGAAGTTTTTAAAAATGGTGACAGTTTTAATCATACAAATGTCAGAACTGGAAAAATGAGAAGAGGAAGTTAATAACAAAATGAAGATAAAACAAAGGAAAATTACAGACATTAGAAAAAAGGGAGAAAAAGAAAAATAATAATAAAAAAATAACAAACAACTGGGGAAAAAAAGAATAATTTTTTTAAAAAAAAAAATCTGGAAAATAATTTCATCAGTTTACACTATTATATCCGCAAAAAAGAGTGCTTTCTGATATTGTATCAATATAGCCAAAGCAAAGTATATCAATTCAAATGTGTGAGTATACAAATATAACAATAAAATTCCACACTATTGTATTGATATATTTTGCTTTGGCTATATTGATACAATATCAGAAAGTACTCTTTTTTGCGGATATATGCGTGTAGGCTGATGAAAAGATTGTATCTTTTGTTTTCCAGATTTTTAAAAAAAAATTTATTCTTTTTTTCCCCCAGTTGTTTGTTATTTTTTTATTATTATTTTTCATTTCCCCTTTATTTCATATGTCTGTAATTTTCCTTTGTTTCATCTTCATTTTGAACTTATCTTATGAGTTCTGTTTACTTGCAGCTTATGCGCAATAAATGAAACTTATAGTTTTTCTTAATTTTTTTCGTGTTTTTTTGCATTTATTTTGCTGTATATATATAAACATATATATAAGTTCAAAATGTCGAGAAAACATGGAAAAAAGTACAGAACAATTAAAAAAAGAGGGAAATTATTAATAATAATATATATATATACAGAAACTTAGAAGCAGTTTGTTCTTCTCATTTCTAGCAGCTGATGGCTGCAGTCCAAATCCATGTCAAAATAATCAGAGATGTGAAGCAAAATCAGGAGGTAAATATAAATGCAGTTGCAAATTGCCATTCAAAGGAGATCTTTGCGAAAAATGTAAGTTTATTAAAATTAGTTGCTTATTAAAATGTTTATTAAAGATGTGATGTTTTTAAAATATAAATTATTTAACAGCTCCTTGTAATCCAAATCCATGCAAAAATGACGGGAATTGCAGTATTTCTTTTCTTAGCGCAAAATGTAGTTGCTTGCCGGGATATAAAGGAGACAAATGCACTGGAGGTAATTTATAGTTATTGTTTTGATTGGCAGAAATAGAACACCAAAAATTATTTTCCTGCTGTTTTAAATTTAACTAGATATAATCGCTATATGTAATTTTAAAAAGTAATACATTGCACTAATATGTAATCAGTGTAATTTTAAACACTACGAAATATAAGTGTTAGTAATTATTTCAATGGCATATTAACTTATATATAATTGAAAAATGAAATAAATGTTGTTAAGTGAAATTCATCATCATTTTCAATATCAATTATTTAAATCAGAAAATGTAACTGTTTTTCATAATGGTTCAGGATTCACAGCTACCGGACAAAATAATCCGAATACTTTTATACAAACTGTATAAAATGTCAGTGATTTTTATTTAAACAACAAATGTTTCGGAAGATGGCAAAATTACATTAATAATTTTACACTGTAAAACTGACTGTTGACACATTTTGAAAGTTCATACTTAAAAATTGTAGAAATAGTGTTCTTTTTATCCATGCAAAATTTGCATCAGCAAAAATGAGATAAAAGCTTCTTTACTTTTTTTCAATACCCTTACAAATCAAAAAGCATTCTTGTCCAATTATCGCAATTCTTTTGAATGATTTAAAATTTCTTGGCATCAAAGCTTAAAAGAACTATTAACTTCCTTTTTTCAATTTTGTTGACGTATATTTTTTATTGGTAAATAGCACATCATTCTTTAAAGTATTATCTTTCAAATTGTGCCAACAGTTTTGCTATGAAAAATCTTCTAAAACATTTGCTGCTGCTGCAAAAAAAAAAAAAAATACATAAATTTATTGAAGTGTCATTATTTTGTCATGTACGTATAGCCTCCGCATAGAGAGCATCAAGTGACTCGAACAGATTAGCGTGATTACGTGCTTGAGTCCGAAGGAAACCGAAAATGAGTAGTTCATCTATATTATAAGTCGATGAAACAAACTTTAATAGCAGTCTTAAAATACTGCTTTATTATTATATTTTATTATTTATTGATATTTGTGTTGTTTTAATGAATACGAAATATTTAATAAGTGCATAAAACCTATTGACGTTAAAATATTAAAAATTGAGCATTTCTTTTAATAAATCTCTACACGTCAGAAAAAGCATCTGGTAGGAATGTTTCGCGTGATATAAAATCTGAAACAATAACTTGCCCCAAAAATAATTCACTTAATTTAAGGACATGAGGATTTTTAAGGATATAAGGAAATTTATGGACACAAGAGCTGGATGTTATGTTTAATCAAATTCAAAATAAACTTGCACTTGAAACTATGTCTGACCTCACAATGGTATAATGTCATTAAAGAACTCCGTAGTACTTGCATTTAATAGAAAAGATATCCAATAGTGTGTTGGTCAAAAATATCGTTGACCTTCAGATCTTGAGACCTTCAGCAGTAGTGTAGAAAATGTTTTATCTAACATGATTAAGAAGTATGCTATATAAATGAACTAAAATTAGATCATGTCAGTAAAACTGCTAATATTATCAAACATTTAACCGGAATGGATTAAAAATTCCCACGATTTCAAAATCATTTGGTTACATCATCTTATATGCATCGATTTAAATTACTTCTATACAGTTAAGGAAAAAATTCTTATATGTTTAATTTATTAAAATAGTAATGTATTACTCTTGGAGTTTCTCTAGGAGTTTCTGGTTAAAAATATAAAGCATAAATGATACAAATATTTATTTTAAATAGTTATATTAATAAGGTTAATCTATTTAGTTTATCTTAAAATAATTTTTATAATATGCATTATATTTGTTAAGGTTACAGTAATAAAAAAATCCGGTTATTATTAATACTGAGCAATTTAAAAATAATAATAACGGCTTTTTTTGGTCAAAGTAAGGAATATCACAAATTATTCACTTTAACCATTTATTAATCATAAACGATTGGGTTTGGTAAATGTGATTAAACGGTTCATATAGCATTAAGACATGGGTGTGCCTCTTTCAATATGTATTATGGTTGAATTGATAAATCCGGTTATTATAATACTAACTGGTCAAAATTAACAATAACCGCTTCTCTTGATTAAAGTGAGAAATAAAAAAGGGCGATTTCCGTATCGTGTTCTGTGGCAGAATAATCGTCAAGTCTTGGCAACTTCCCGCGATAAACTAAGAAATAATAATAAGGATGACTTCACAGAAAGAGACCAACTCGAAAGGTATAAATCATAGCCCCACTTCCTGATAAACATCAGTATGTCCTTTTTTTCCCAATAATTTTTCCACTTTAAAATCAATTTGACGCTATAGCGATTATAGTTGGCATGGCAGATCACGATACGGAAATATCTCCAATAAAAACGCGAAAGAATGACATTGACTAAACTTCATTGGTTATTATTAATAATAAGCTGTTATTGTGATAAATTCGCTTAAAGTATTCACTTTAATCGGCTTATTTGGTTATTATTAATATTGCCCGGTAAGTATTAATAATAACTGACTATTAATACTAACATTGACGTCGACCGGAGTGACTTCACATTGACCGGAACTTATAATAACTTATAGAGAAAGAAATTCTTCATGTCTGAAAGTTGAATCATAATCACCTTATAGCGCTTTACTTTTCTGTTTCTCTTCAGCTGAATGTGGTCGCGATGTCTGCAAAAATGGTGGTACCTGTAAAATGGTAAACAACAAGATCAGCTGCGGTTGTGTTTCACCCTACAGTGGTCCATACTGTGAAACTAAAAAAGGTAAATCGCAGCTCGTATATTTTTTCTAACTGCAAGTAAGTAACAGTCAAATATAATTAAATAGCCAAACAGGAAAGTATGACTTAAGTAATTCTTATGAAATGTATCCTTTGTTAACTGGAAGAAATGCTTTGCTTTTACTGTTAAATAACAGAATGGTATTTAGGTATGACGATATGAATGACGTGGTATTTCCTTTCATTTAATGGCTTTTGAGATAATAATTAAATTCTCTCTCTATTTATCTGTAAATACTGCACACCTAAATCAAAATTGATGGGTAACAATTTCCAAACAAGCAGTTATTCAATGCAAGAAAAAAAAAACGTTATTAGAATAAACGATCTTTTACTTCAAATATTCTATATAGAGATCAGTATAGCTTTGACGGACAGAAATGGGTAACGATTTCCAAACAAGCAGTTAATCAATGCAAAAGAAATGTTATCAGGATAAATTATCTCTTATTTCAAATGTGCTATATAGAGATCACTATAGCTTTACTGGATAGGAATGGGTAATGATTTCCAACTACGCAGTTAGTCAATGCAAAAGAAATGTTATATAATATCGAAAGTACCATCATTTCATAAATATTGAAAAATACAGATACTCGTTAAACACCGAAAAATACAGACAATCTTATAAATACCGATACTGGAGAAATAACGAATATTTCTTGACAATGAATTTCACTTCCTTGCAGAAGAAAAAAGAGAATCTTTTACCGTCACATAGTCAGGGGTGAAAGCGAGACGGAAACGAGGAAAGGCTGGTAGTAAAACCTTTCCAGTTATAGCTAGTTTTGGGGAGGAGTTTACTTATTCCTTTTTTAAATTTTTCAACAATATCTACTTTATCTTCCAAAAGAAGCAGTTTTATATGTATGCCAGAATTATAAAAGAAATCTTGATAGTTACAGATATTTCATTTTTTTCGAAAAAAATGCTGGAATGAAATGTTTTACGTACCAGGTTTTTCTCTTTTCCGTCTTGTTATATAAGGGCTTTCACCCCTGCACATAGTGTTTCACTTTTCAAGGTTTGCTTAGATTGGCGTCATTTCTTTTGTTGGCGGTACAATCATTATATTGGCGGATTTATCTCTTCTAAAATATTTAGAACAAAACAGAAAAAGAAGTTTAATAAGTTAAGAAGTCACTAAGTTTATTGAAAAATTAATTATTTCTTGGAATTGTTCATTTATATTTCGAATTCATTTGATTCATTTTAATGAACAATTTGACTTACTTGATAAGCTGTTAGAAGAAAGTACTAATTTATTTAGTAAGAAAAAAAAACTGAGTTTTACATTTTAATGGTGGCACATATATCAAATGAATATTTGTGAAACATCTCTTATTTTTAAATTTCTATTTCAATTTTATTTTAATCTTTCTAAATATTTATTTACTGTTTCTTGGTTTTACATAATACTTCATTAAATGTTTTAATTATTTCATAACTTTAAGTGTTGATTTGATTATAAATAAGTTATGCTTTCAATTTTGTACAGTTTTCCGATTTTAGCAAAATACTTAGAAAATTTTTTTGTTAGATTTGATATTTTACTTGATCCCTAAAAATTTGTTAATTGTTAAAATGGAGGTGATGCTGGACTATAGGGCCTTAGAGGCTTATAAATAATGGCAAACCTCTTCTGAACAATATTTTTGATAATCATGTTTCATAGAATTTGAAATGTTGAATATGAATATTTTACTCACTTTAGAGTTATAATCATTGATTCCTACATGTGATTATTAAATGTATTCAAACTTCAAAATGTTTTGATCTTATATATTTAAATCTTAGTTTATAATGTTAACTGAAAATTTTAAATAATTATATTTATCATTCTTTGATATAAATAGAGTATGCGTCTCAAGTTTTCTGCGATTTCCTCACTTCTCACACTCTACCCCTCTCCATTTCCATAGTTTTCGCAAATCTTGCTTTTTTGTACGTTTCAGTGAGAATTTTAAAAACACTTGAGTAGATAAAGAGTTGCCGAAACCATTGAAATGGATAGGGGGGAAAGTTTGGGTAGGGAAGGAATTGTGAAACCTTGAGACGACTATCGAATAAACAAAGAATATAATAAGTTGTCAATATTTAATTACCTTCCTTCGATAATTACTTTTTACAGAAGTTATGGCATTAACTGATATATGAACAGAAGTTTGGATATTGTTATTGTGAGAATTGCGTCTTATTGTGGAAAGATCTTAAAAAATGTTCTGTAATCCGTAAGCTATCACAAAAGCAAATTATCAAAATAAAATTATTCTATAAAATATGCTTACGGATACAATATCTTTTAATCTTTAGCGCGTGTCGTGTATTTATCATAGTCACGTATTGTTCAATCATTGGCAAAACACTTTTCATGTAAGTAATTGTTTTAAAAGTGTCGCATGTTTAACTACCAATTTCAAGTTTAACCATATAATGTACAATTTTGTAAAATCCAGTACATCAAATAAAACTAAATTCTGCAAAATTACTAGCTGGAAAATTGATTACAACGTTTGAAATGAGACTTAATTAAAACTCATTATAAATATATTCATTTTTTATGGTTTAGCATTCTGTATTTTGGCAGTGGTAGTTCAGTGGTTAGAGCATCGGGCTATAGAGCTCTGAACAGTACCATGGATACCGAGATCTAGAGGAAATTCCTTTTCCCTTCAGATCTGTCAGCAGCCATTCTTATTTTTAAGATGAAATTTTAAACAGGAAAACCAAAACAAACAGTGTAGTATGGTTACTCATACCTGCCAACTTTCACTCTTTCCGAGAATGGATTTTCAGAGTGGTTGTAAAACAATAAACAAGAAACAATCTGACTTAAAAATATATTTATATTTTGATCCCGTTGAAATTTGCTCGCGTAGGGATTATTTTGCTTTCATATATTTATTTTAATTATTCATATGTAGTGGTGGTCAAACTCCTTTACAATTATCATTATAATTCAAAAAGTTAATTGGAATAACCTGAGTATTGCTACCACTTTAAATATGAAAATAAAATCTTCTGCAAAATCCGGAAACGTTGGCAGCTATGACGGTTACTTATTCAATGCTCATTAAAATATATTTGTATTTATGTTTAAGGTTTACAATTATATATACTATATATATTTAAGATGAAATGACATTTTATTATTTAGTATGAATGTGGTTCGTTCATGATTGGAAATCGTATATTAATTTCTTAATAATGAAACTGTTTTGTGAAAAATTGTAATGATAAATTTTGATGCAACTTATTGAACTTAGTGAAAGCTCCCACATCCTGCAATCCTAATCCGTGCAAAAATGGTGGAACATGCATAAAAACTGGAAATTCATATTCCTGTCGCTGTAAGTCAAAATTCGGAGGAGACACTTGTCAGTGGAAAGGTAATATCTTTGAGTACTAAAAAATACCCGGGACAGTAAATACAGGCATAAATTTGCTGTTACTCCAGTTATTTCGAAGAAAAGGTCTTCAAAAATATGCTTTAATAAAAGATAATTGCATTTTGTTTGATCTCTTTTTAAATTAAATTTTGTGAAATGGTATTCTCAAATTGTATTTCTAATGTAAACAGAGCCAATTTAAAATAAGCACAAACTTATCTAAAGAATGGATACTATATTTTAAATGAATATTTTAAAGGTTGTTATGTATTTAGCCTTAATTTATAAGGAAGCAACTATCATTTTGAAAACTTCTTTCCTTTTAGAGGCATTTTGGAAAAATGTTTAATATTTTAACTTTCATTCATCCAGCATAGATTATAAAGATCTTTTTATTATGTGCCTTATAATCCTATGTATTGATACTTCATCTTTTATCTATTTGCTGTGATTCTATGAGAGAAGATGAAGTGTTTTAAATTAAAATGTTCTTTTGATTAAAATGGATTTTTTTCAAAATGATTGATTGAAATTGATTTTTATGAATTATATTGAAAATATTGTTATAAATCAGGAAAATAGTGAAATTTTCTATAAAAATTATTGAAATTTTATAACTTTTTTGTTCAAACAGTTTGAAAAAAGGATTTTTTTAAGCAATTTAAAAAAAAAAACATATTTTGAAAGCAATTAATAAAATTATGCAGTTATTTTGAGCAAAATAACATGACGAGAAAAGACATTAGAAGATACGTATCGTCAAAGCTTTGAAAAAAGATATAACATTGATTAAAAAACTAAAATATTTTTTTTAACGTAAACTGAGCTATTTTTATTTAAAAAAAATTCTAATTTTTGTAATAAACTAAACGATTTTTTCAGTTTTTTTTTACTTAATTTAATAATTTAATCATAATCATATATTTTACCAAAATAATTAAATTTATTTAAGCAATCTACAAAGAATTTTCGGTTAAATTCGAAGAGCGAAGTAGATAAACCAGGTAAGTGATACTTTCACTGTATCGGGGTAAGAAGAAAAAAAAAGTGGGATCCAAACTAGTTTGTTTTAGATTTGTTAGAGAGCAGACCGATAATTCTTGGCTTTATTTTATTTACCACCTCGAAATTTGAAATAAAATTCATGCAAGTATATTCAAAATTAACTAGGATTAATTGTATTAAAATGGAAGAAAAACTATTTCTGTTACATTAAACATACCCATATTAATGGCGATCAATTTATGTTACTTTACCTTAATACCACTGAAAATGAAGTTTACTTTTTTCACCCATTAAGTTATTCATTTCAGTTTGATTTAATATTACCTAAGAGTTCACAATAAATCAATATTTCAAACTGTTTGTAACGATGAAGTCTAAAATGTGGACAGGTGTGATAGTATTCCAAATAAAGTAATGAAAGCAACACTAGCTGTCAAGCCAAAATAGGAAGGTAAAAAAAAGTTTCATGACAGACAGAAAATATAGGAACTAGTTCATATGAGAGCATTTGAAGTGAATATAAAGTCCTGTTTTGATGCGTGCGTCTAGAACAAAAGAAGGCAAAATAGTACGAGTTTTAGTTATAGAAGATAATTGCACTGTTCCTTTGCACAGCCATAATGTTCTAAATATGTCACCAGTGGTAAGTCTCTTATTTCCTCAAAATATTTTATTAACAGGAACAATGGTCTCACTGGAGATCATTGCTTAGCTTGGCTGTCAGATCCGATGTTGTTGTACTTTCTTACGTTAAATTTTATACCATTTGCTTACAGACGTTTGTCCTGTACAGTGTACTTAATCATTCGATGAGGCATACATCCGTATTAAGGTCGCCTTAAGTCCCTAAAAACCATATGAGTATATATGTTTTTTTTTTTTGCTTTTTGGACGCATCTTAGAGACAATTCTACCATTTATGAATGTCATAATTTCAGACTTTTGACAACGTAAAACTCAGATAAAAAACATCACACTGTTATAGTAATGATTGGTAAGGTGATTCTTGGTACCTTTAATAACAACCCCGAATTTCAGTAACTTACACTAGTTTGATTTTTTTTAAATTTCTAAAAAATGGATTTAGGGTAAAATGGCACCAAGAGTTATCTTGCAAAGTTAGATTTTTCTTTTAAATTTCTTAAAAATTGGCTTTACAGTAAATGGACACCAAGATTTATTTTAACAAAAATTATAAGAACTGTTGATCTTTTTGAACTGAGTTCCATATATTAAAAGTCTGATGTCTAAAAAGTGTAATAGCCCTTCATAACGACTTAACAGCTATTTTGAATGTTCTTACATACTTACATATGAATGTGCTTACATTAGCTGGACGCAATCTGCTGTTTATTTATTACATACAAGGACGTTTTTTCTTTCAAAAATATTCCATCTTGGCCAGACTTTGTGTTTACTTTTAATGCTTTCATACGAACTCGTTAATTATCTATACACAAACATCGGTGAAGTCTTTTTTTCTTAATAGTAATAGAATAGTGAACAGCTATTGGTGCTGTGTTTCTGAAGCTACCAATAACGTTACTTTGTCTACAGAATATTTTCAAGGAAAGTAATACTTTCACAGTGAACTCATTATTTCAGATGCCTGTTACAATAAGCAATATTGTCAAAATGGAGGTACATGCCGCACAACTGGAGTTAATAGTTATAAATGTGATTGCTTACCTTCATATTCTGGACGAAAATGTGAAATCAAAGGTTGTATTTATGATGTAATTTATTGCTAATTATTACTTTCCATTTAATAGGCGAACATCAAAGGTTTACCCAAACTGTATTTGTTTGCAATATTATTTGATACAAATCATATTTAAATATTATCTTTATTACATTTTAAAAAGCACTATTAGGGTAATTATCTTTTAATAAATATAAGTGTTAATTTTGCTCCTAAAATTTAACTGGACCATAATCATCCAATATATATTTAAGTGCAAGATTTATTGATACAAATTAATTTTTTATTTTATTAGTATCACATTTTACAATGCCCTATACGTTTCAAATGCAATAGCTTTTTCAATTTTGTCAATTGATATTTCATAAAATTATATTTTAATAAGTACATGCATTAATTTTGTTTTCAAAATTAGAGTAAGAAATGCTCTTCAAATCTGTATTCCTAGGCAATATCGATTGATTCAAATTATATATTTAGTTTATTTGTATCACTATGCACTTTTACGTTATAAATGTAATAAACATTTTCATTTTATATAATTATATTTTCATAGATATATGGTATAATTTTCGATCTACACTTAAGTTGATGGTATATGCTCTTCAGATTCGTATTTGTGTGCAAAATTGTTTGATGCAAATTATAATTTTATTTTATTTGTATCACAATGCACTATTACGTTACAAATGTAATATTCAATTTTGTTTTTATTGTTAAGTTTTAAAAAGTATATGCCTTGACTTTGCTTCTACATTTAAGCTGGACCATGCTTTTCAAATCTGTCCTTGTGTGCAATATTGTTGAAAAAAATTACATTTTTTAATTTGTATAGCATTTTACATTGATTGAGAACGTTATAAATCAAATAGGCATTTGTATTTCATCTAATTATTTTTAATAAGTAGATTCATAAATTTTACTTCTGCTATTACTCTGCACCATGATCATCAAAACTGTATTCGTGTGCATTATAGTTTGATAATTTTTTATTATTAAAGTATTGCACTGTTATTTAATAAATCTAATAG